GCTCCTGCAGCTCCAGAGCACCAGCGCTGCTCCAAGACCCCCTCAGAGTCAACAGAGCTGCTTGGGGGACGGGATCCCTGAGGTGGGGCCACTGACCATGGGTGGGACCATGGGGCCATGTGTCCCTGGGATGACACACAATGTCCCACCGGTCTGAGGGCATTATCCCACTCACCACGTTCATGAGGGGTCCATTGCTCTCAGTAGCTGTGGTGGTGGACCTGGATGCATTGCAAAGCTTGCATTCGGTGTGTGGCCTCAGCTAAACCCCAGTTCCCTACTGGGACGAGCTCCAGGCTGGATGCAGACTGGGGCACTCCCATCCATCCCTTCTTTTGGCAGCCCAAGAGGCCTTGCCGTGTGCCGTGGCCAGTCGCTGCTGTGCCAGCTTAGTCCCAGACAGGTCTGTCCCTCACTGCCCTTCTGCTCAGCTGGACCAGGGCCACCCCAGCAGCAGCGCTGGGCTTGCCCCAGGCTGGTGGCCGCAGGTTTGCTGAAGGGCTGAGCCTGGCAAAGAGACCCAGACTCCTGGGAATGGAGACCAAAACAGCAGCTTGGACAGTCCCGCTGCCTGGGATGAGCAGACGGAGACACCGAAAGCCATGGGAAACCATGGCTCCCTCCCAGCTGGGAAATCATTCCCTGTCCTTCTGGTGTGAGAAGAAATTATGGTATTGTCACATAACCTCTGGAACTATTTATTTACTACAGAAGGATCAGAAAAGCTAAACCAAAGAGATGCTCAGCCTGGGTTTGGAGGTAAGAGCTGCAGGGTTTGGTCAGCTCCAGGTGCACACAGCCACCACGCAGTGCCACACATCCAGGAGGGACCGGGGACGGTCGATGCTACTTGATCCTGGGTGAGGACAAGTGCCCCTTGCTTAGGACAGCATGGCCCAGCCGCCATGCAGTCAGCGGGGGGTTTCCAGACCTGGGAATGTGGTGGACACTCATTCACCCCCTTCCAGTGAAGCCATGTGAGTCCAAAGGTTGTGTGTTGTGTGGAGGTGGGAATACAGGAGTGGTGGCACTCTCTGGGCTCCAGGCATCTGCCCCACCGGCATGCGAGCCAGGCCAAAGGAGATTCCCATGGGAAGAGGGAAAGGCGTGGAGATGCGAGCCCTGGCTGGCCGGCAGCAGGGCACGGTGCAGGCACCCAAGCTGCAGGTAGATGTGACCTGAGACAGAGAGACCCCGGGGACTGCTGCAGGCCTGGTTTCGCAGGGTGGTCCGTTCAGTGCACGCAGCGGGAGCTCTGAAACCACCAGCAAAAGGTGCTCTGGGAAGGTCCCATGCAATGAGGGCTCCCCAGCACACAGTTCCCGTCTGGCATCACTGTGTTTGACTCATCTGAGATGAGGCAGCTGGGAACTGAGTCATTCCATCGAGATAGCCCTCATGATAGCCCTGGCAGCCTCTTATCGGGGAGCTGAATCAGCAGCATCACCCGTAGAGAACCAGCCCCTGTGTCCATCAGCCCTCCCTGTCCCGGGGCTCTGCGGCCATGTGTGACGCCGTGCCTGCACCGAGCCTCGAGCGCGTGCCCGGAGCGATGGAGGCTGCTGGCAGCGCTGGGGGCTGTGAGGACCTGAGCCCTCCCCATGCCCTCAGCTCTCCTCAGGTCCCCGTGTCTGTAGGGACCACAGACCAGAATCACAGAATCACAATATCTCCAGAGAAGGAGACTCCACAACCTCCCTGGGCAGCCTGGGCCAGGGCTCCGTCACCCTCAGAGGGAAGAAGTTCTTCCTCATGTTCAGCTGGAGCTTCCTCTGCTTCAGTTTGTGCCCGTTGCCCCTTGTCCTGTCGCTGGGCACCACTGGAAAGAGTCTGGCCCCGTCCTCCTGACACCCACCCTGCAGATATTTATAAGCATTTATTAGGTCCCCAAATAAATGGGACCAGGAGCAGCTCAAAGCTGGGTCACACACCAGGAAGGGGTGACCGCAGTCCTACCTGGGCCATGAAGACATCTTGGCTGCCTTGGCTTCTCGTGTCTCCTCTGGCAAAGCTCAGCAAGCGTTGCTGAGACCCCCCTGGCAGGACCGTCCTCCTCCTGTGATGTCATTGTAATAAAACTTATCGTCAAGGCACCTACCACTCTGCGTGTGATTTCAGGGTATTGGATACTGGAAAGATTTCAGGGTATTGGATACTGGAAATACCACTCTCATCTCCTATGACCTTGTAGAGGCTCATGATGGAAATATTAAGACTGGTGAAAGCAAAGAGAGAACAGAAATAAATGTGAGTGTGTGTAAAAGCACAAAGAATCAGGGAGACAAGGGTTAAAAGGAGAGGTGTGTGCTAATTGCAGCAGGGCTCCTATGTGTGATTTCATTCAAATGAGGAGGAGGAACTAACTGGCTGAAGATAAGGTGTTGGGGTGGTGCCAAACCAAGCCAGGAATACACCTGTAAGTCGAACAAGGCAACAGATATTCAAGAGTTTTGCCTAAGGCTGATGAGGTCTGAGACAAAATAACGGGGAAAAGATTTTCAAGTGCTATCCGCTTCCAAAGGATACAGAAGGCAAGTCCAAAGTCCAAGCTGGGCTTGCTGCCGGCGGCGGAGGAGCCCAGAGCCACAGCAAGGACTCGCCAGCCAGCTCGGAGAGATCCCACCTGGGCACACACGTCCGGGTGCTGCTGGGCGTGCGGCTCGGGGCGTGCCAGCAGGTGAGCTCACCTTGCTAATGTTTCATAAAATAAAATCACCTTCCCCTTCTACAGGAGCTCACGGTGAGGTTTTTTGCAGTTTCCCGCTCTCTCCTCTGTTCGGTGCGGTGTTTCTTTTGCTCCTCCTGGACCTGATCCTTCCTGGCAGTGGTGAGCCGAGCTGGGGTGGGTGCAGGACCTGGAGGACTGTTGCGATCCTATCACGGCCGTGGCGGGCTGCTGGGCAGCCAGCTCCTCTTTCCTCCAGCCCCTCCCTATTTTATCCTAAGATTATTTTTCCTGGGGAAAGATCTGATTATCCACCAGGATTTCTGAGTTACACAGCTTGAGATAGTGTCAGCCTGGGGACAGCTTTTGGAGCTGATCTCCTTGCAGCTCTCACTGAGCAGCGTTGATCCCAGCTGGCTGCGTCCAACCACCGTTCTCCTGGGTTTGGGTTTGCAGAAGCCTTCACCACAATGTTTGCTAACAAGAAGCACTTCATCACTGCCATCATCGGGGCGCTGGTCACGCTCTCCATCATTGCCCTTGTTCTCAGCCTGGTGAAGATTGAAGATGTCACCCTGCCACCCATGGTTAAGGTGAGCCCACAAGAGGGTCCCCGAGCACCACTGCAGAGATCAGTCACCTTGGGCAGGTGCTCAGAGACAACAGCTTGTCTTTGGGGTTAGGAGGTGAAGGAGGGCTCGGTAGGACCTGCCTTGTAGTAGCTGGGTGAGCGTTTCCTTCCCATCTCAGGCAGAAGAAATACAGCCTCGTCACCTCGAAGTCAGGGAGGGGAAGACTCCTCTGAAACTAGCCACCACGCTAAGCGTTTGATATGTTTCAAGGAGGTTACCTTGGGGCGGATGGGTAGGGCAAAGCCCTGCCCCGCTCCCTCTGCCCTCCCAGTGCACAGCACCGTGGGGCGAGACACCTCCACGTGGCCTTTGATCCTGCCAGCTCCCACCAGCCTGTCCTGACCCGCTCACAGCACAGCACAAGCATCGCAGCTCCTCCCCGTCCCTCCCCTGCAGCTTGGCATCCCACCCTGGCTGCTGGAAGAGGGTGGGCAGGGTTTCTGGGTGAGATGGAGGGCTTTATGGAGGAGAGGCACATGGTTGGGTGCTCCTGGACTGGGTCTGGTGTGGCCCTGCCACTCCGTGCCCAGGCTGGGGGACCTACCGTGGGGTAGCAGAGAGCACTGGAGATGGGGGAGTTGCTGCCCCCAAGATGGGGCCAGTGTAGAGAAAAAAGATGTGTGACCAAGAAAGAAAATAAAAAAGCATGAGGAAACAATCAAGAAAATATTTGTGTGAGCTGGCGTTGCTGCACAGATCTCAGGAGAGCGAATGAAGCTGTGACCCAGAGAGGTGGTTTTTGGGGCATCCTCTGTCCCGACCACCCTGGCAGGGCCATGGTGGGGCCAGGGGTGGGCTGCTGCTCCTCCTGCCAGCATGATGGTGGCTTGGTTTTTCCTTCCAGTATGGGATGGTGTTTGATGCAGGCTCATCCCACACCTCTCTGTTTGTGTACGAGTGGGATTCAGACAAGGAGAACGACACCGGTGTGGTCAGCCAGACCTTGTCCTGCAACGTCCAGGGTCAGTATCCCCCTGCCCCGGGCTTGGTGCTGCCCTGTGTGTTTGTGTGGTGGGTGGGACGAACTGGCCTCCCTCTTTGGCTCTGTCCATCACTGGTGGCATGGTGGGAAGCCCTGTGTGCAGGCAGAGTGGTCCCTGACTCCTCACTGGCTCCACTCCGTGGTTGGAAGGCCCTCAGCACCATGTAGTGCCCACGTGCTTGGTGGAACTGAAGCACCTTGGTGTTGCTCTGGATTTTCATTCCTCCATCTTGGGCTGCCTCCAGCTGCCTGAGCTGCTGGCTTGACTGGGAAAGGTCTCATGCATAGAGCTGGGGACATTTCTGAAAGCATGGGAGATGTGGGGAAGCCATAGGAGAGGAACGTAAGTGTGGGTCAGTCAGGTCTTGGGGGGACCAGGGGACCCTGGAAAAGTACCCTTTGTTGCTAAGAGGTGACAGATCTCACTGCCCTGTGCCCTCTTGCTCCCACATCCCTGTCCCTAGCCATTCCCATCAGCCTGTCCCAGCCTGACTCTCTTCCAGGTCAAGGCATATCGAGCTATGCCAACGATCCCCCGAAAGCTGGTGATTCCCTAAGGAAGTGCCTGGATAAAGCCCTGAAGGTTGTTCCTGCTGCAAAACAGAGGGATGTCCCAGCTTATCTTGGAGCAACGGCCGGCATGAGGCTACTGAGGTATCGCTGTGGGGTGCGGGGGTGACAGAGCAATGACTGAGCTGCAAGCAGCCACTGCCAGGACACAGTGTCCTGTACGGGCCAGGCTGCCAGGAGCTCCCAGCTCACACGCTGCCATGAGCAAGCGGCTGGGGAGTGGGGAGAAGGCAGCCCGGCAGGGACGCATGGGTGGCTGAGCTGTCCTGAGTGACTGGCCCCAGGGCAGAGAGGCTGCTCAGAGGTGCCTGTAGGCATCCTGGGACTGCACGTCCTAGAAGGGTGCTGCATGCCCAGTTCCAAGCAAGAAATGCACCTCAGGGCTCTTTGTTTGCTCTTCACTATCCCTTAAACACAAGGGAGTTGTGATGCCCCCAGGAGATGCGTCGTCTGTCCAGATGGATGGGTGCTAGCGTGGGAGCCGGGCAGAGGTAGGAGGCAATGAGGTGCTGCAGGACCTGCCCTCACCTTTCACCAGCTGCTATGAGCTCTCTTAAAATGTCAACCTTCATTTCACAGTTCTTGATTTTACGGCTGCAGATATCTAACGTTATTTCTGTGCCCTGGCAATCAGACCCCTTCCCTGGGAAGGAGCTGGGTCATAGCCTGAAGGTTACTCGCTTCAGAGAGCGAGCACATGCCAGCGGCCCCGAGACATCCTCCCCCATGCAGAGGTCTGAAACCAGGATGGCACCATCCTGAAAGACCCACTCGAGCTCCACAGCCAGCCCTGGCTTTGGTGCAGTCAGTGGGTGACCTTCAGACCTGGGATTTACGGCACGATTCCCTCTGGCCTCCAGCACTATGAAGATACTTAGGTGGGGAAGGGTGGCCTGGCAAACCGCTGTGTGACTCGGATCAAGCTGCACTGGAGGGAAGAGATTGCTGTTGCTCCTAGATTGGTGGTGCCAAGTCCAGACAGCTGGGATTTATGCTGTAGGAGCAGCTTTGACAAGTTATGTGGCAGGAAACATCATTTCGCACAAACTGCTTGTTGCAAAAAAATGGAGCATGTGGAGCTGGGAAAAAAACAGACTGTTTCCTTGTCTTTCCTCTGTAGTATTGGTGTAGCTGGGTTTGTGTCCTGACCTTTGAGTCCTTCTTAGGCAACAGAACAGCTCAGCAGCAGATCAAGTCCTGGCCGAAGTCGCTAAAACTATGCAAGAATACCCCATGGCTTTCAAAGGGGCTCGAATCCTTACAGGAGAGGAGGAGGGGGCTTACGGCTGGATCACCATCAACTACCTGCTGGACTCCTTCACTAAGGTGGGGGAACAGTGAAACACCCACTCCTTCTTTGCTAATACAGTTTTTCTGATTTTTCTTAAGCTTGCTTATCACAGAAGGAAAGGTCTGCCTTAACAGCTTTTGGGAATGGCCTAGGAAAAGCAGCCAGTTGTCCTCTGGCTTGCCACAGTGAAAGAGGATGGAGAAATAAGGAGTGGGGGTGTCTCTGTTGAGAGCTAAGGGCACATCTCCGCACCATGTGGACACAGTGTGTCTTGGGGACAGCGAGGTCACCGTCTAGCCTAGTGGGGACCATTTGCTCCTGCTGGGCTTTGTCTCGCTGCCCTGGGAAGGTCCATCGCTGTGTGGTGCTCAGAGACCCCAGACCAAACCTCTTTCCTGCCACCCTCTATGCCAGCACAGCCACCGCTCAGAGCTCCTGCACAGGCTCTTGGAGGATTTCTGCCCTTCCCCTCACACCAGTGCCTCTGCAGCTTGCTCTTCAGGAAGGGCAGCCCCTCCAAGGCTGGTGCACACCAGCACTTTCATCTGGGGACCGGTGACTCAGAGCCATGTGAGCCCACACCGTGTTGGCATATCTGACCAACTGTCTGACCATCAGACAGTTCAATCTGTTTTTTCTGGCTCTGTCAAATGGCCATGTTGGTTGGGCAGGGAAGGCAGCAGGGCCTCACGCAGGCAAATAATTGGATTGAATACCCACTGAATTTAGGAACAAAACCCTATTGACTTCATGGCATCATAGGCTGGAAAAGACCTCTAAGATCATCAAGTCGGAGTGGGATGAGAATTTTTCTCAGGCCAGGTAAGCCCAGCTGTGTACTACTCCTCTTCCTCTCTTGTCCCACGTTGTCAGTACTCCCCCAGAGCACACACGTGGGTTCATCCAGAGGCGGCCAGCATTTTTGGGGCACTGGATCTTGGAGGAGCATCCACTCAGATCAGCTTTATGCCCGAAGGTTCAGTGATAAACTGGAATGAAGCCTCCAAGTTCATGCTGTACGGATATAACTACAGCATCTACACGCACAGCTACCTCTGCTACGGGCAGAACGAGATGCTGAAGCGACTGGCAAAGCAATTGATTGTGGTGAGAGGGGAACTGGGGGTAATTGGACTCTGGTCTCACGATACCGGCCACAGACTTGTTAATCCATAAAATAAGAACAGAGAGGTGTCAGCAGGGAATAAGAGCAGGTACAGACTCCTTGGAGCATGGGTAGGCAGGTGTGGAGAGGAGCACGGGAAGTGTCGGAAGGGGTGGCTTGGGAAAGATAGTCTGGCTGTTCACAGCTGCCTTGAACAGGGTGTAGAAAAGGCAGGACCAGGCTCTTCTCAGAGGCGCAAAATGGCAGGACGAGGCAACAGGCACAAGCTGGAACATGCAAGTTTCCAACCAGATGCAGGGCAAAAGTTTTTCCAGATAAGAATGGTCAAATATCAGGATAGGGCCTAGAAATGTGGTGGAGTTGCCATCCCTGGAGTTATTCAGAACTTGACAAGACAAGGCTCTGAGCAACCCATTCTAGGTGGTCATGCTTTAAGGAGGGAGTTGGCACAGGGACCCTGTTGCTCCCCCCAAGCCTCAACTACTCTGTGACTGCACGGACTTGAGAAAAGTGAACCACAGATCTTTCTCAGGGCATTTTTTGGATGGTCAGAGGGGAAGAGAGTCTTCATGGAGCTGCACTGTGCCAGGAGAAGAAGCAGCCTTGATGAGCCAGAAGGGTTTGCTTGTGCTGCACAGCCAGGAAGGTCCCAGGTGGTGTCCCTGGCTGGGGCTGGAGCTAGAGACAGAGCTAGAGCTGGGGTGGAGAGGGCTTTGCGTGCCCCAAATCATGATCCTGTGGCCAGGGGAGAGACGTGCTGGGTCCCTGAAATTGGGCTGCCTCCGCGGGAGAGGGAATGAGAGAAAGCAGAGTGAGAATTAGGGTTGAGCTTGGGCTGGGACTGCAGATGGTCGACAAGACCAGGATTAAGGAACAGGAGGGTCTTTTCCTGGGAGGAGGTGGGAGATGCTTCTGTGGCTTTGGGGGGAGCACTGGGTGAACCCTGCTGCCGGCATGCTCGCCAAGGGGGTTTGGAGGGGGCTGCAGCCTGCGATTTTGCTATTCCCAGGAGTCATCCTCCAGCACGCGAGTCGATCACCCTTGCTACCCAAAAGACTACAGCGAAAACATCTCGCTGTCTTCCTTCCGCACCAGCGCCTGCACCAACCAGAGCGACCCACGCCTGACCCTCGACGACAGGAACGTGACCCTGGAGGGCAGGGGCAATGCCACCGCGTGCCTGGCTGCCATCAAGAAGCTGTTCAATTTCTCGGCGTGTGGCCAAAGCCAGGACTGCACCTTCGACGGCATCTACCAGCCCCCAGTCAGCGGGAAGTTCATGGTAAGGCAAATCCCACCCTCCTGCTTCCCAGGCAGAGGATGTCCCCGGGTGCTGTGGTGTCCCTGCATGCCCACGGCACTGTCACCTCCCCGCAGCAGAATGGGGGCAAGAAGCTCACAAACTGCCACTGCCCCAGGGCACACCAGGGATTGTTGCTGTCTGGGTTTCCAGCCAGCTCTCCAAATGGGACCATGTTAATAAAACAGGTGCTTAGTCAAAACCCAAGTTTTCAGCAAAAAAACCCAGCTTAGCCAGCAGCCTTCAGGCACGGCTCTGCCTGCGCTCGATGTGCTGCCGTACCTACGCTCCAGCCCATCATCTCTGCTGGGACATACAAGGGTGGACAGACCCGGTGAGGGACAAACCCAGCCTCCTGCGTCGAGGGAGGTGGGGGCAGCTGCCAGGGGGGTTTCCCCACTGTGACTCAACGGCATTTCTACCTCTTGCCTTTCAGGCCTTCTCCGCCTTTTACTATAACTTCAAGTTTCTCAACCTGACCGAGGGGCAGTCGCTGGCCACTGTCAGGGAGACCATCGAGCATTTCTGCACAAGAGGCTGGGAAGACGTACGTTCCCCACAATGAGAGGCTGTGGGGAAGCCTCACAAGCAAAGGGGTCCTGGGGTGGGGGAAGAGGTGCGGAGACTCCCCCAGGGCAAGGGTCTCTGGTTGCTGAGCCGTGTCCTACACAGCGGAGCCACCCCTGAGCTCCTGGCTCGTGCAGCGTTGGGAAAGGGGCAGCCAAGGCAGGTGAGGGCAGCAAGATCTCCCCTCCAGCACAGGAGCTGGGGATGGAGGAGGATCTGTAGCACTGAAGGATGGGGAGAAGAGAGCCAGCTGCTGGCACCACTCTAAGGAGGAGTCAAATGGGGATGGATAAGGCCAGGAGAAGTGCTAGGACCACCATGGGGCAGAGAGCAGGGGCTCCTTGCACGAGCAGGCTGAGATGGGAGAATCAGGGGCAGAAGGAGTTCGAATATGTCCCTGTTTCCACGTGGAGAGTGAATCCTCCTCAAAGGAGTTGCTCTGAGGACAGGGCTAAAATACCTGCCTGGCCTAGGAGTCTGTTTCTGGCTTCTGGTGGCTACAGAGCCATTGCCCCTTGTGCAGCAGTCGTCAGGGCATTATCCCTGCATGGAAATTGCCTGCAAATAACTTCCCTTCCTCCCCAAACATTTTCCCCCTGCAGCTGTCTTCTAGCTACCCTGAAGAGAACCCTGACCGACTGCCTAAATACTGTGCCAACGCCAACTATATCCTCACACTCCTCCTCGACGCCTACAAGTTCAGCGAGACCAGCTGGAACAACATCTTCTTCCAGATGAAGGTAGGCAGCAAACCCAGCCTGTGGGCAGGAGCAGAGGCAGCGCCGGGGCAAAGAGCCAGCTTCCCACATTGGGATGCCGTGAGAGCCACGGTCCAGAAAGCCCTGCCTGCCCCACATCCCAGCGTGGCACTGGGTGTGAGGCCAGCTACTGCACCCCGTTTGGGCTGTGCAGGAGTGGGTGGCTCTGCATCGTCAGTGGGGCTTTTCTGCAGAGCTAACTCATCGTCCCATCTCTCCTCGGGCAGGCGGGGAGCTCTGACGTCGGCTGGACGCTGGGCTACATGCTGAACCTCACCAACATGATCCCGGCGGAGGTTCCGGCGCGGGTGAAGGGGCACGTTCCTTCCCTGTGGGCTGTGGCTGTCACCTTCATCATCCTCACCCTTACCTTGGGGCTTGCTGCCCTACTTCTGCTCTTGTGGGTGTAGGAGCCTGGCTGCTTTTCAGAGCCTGGCAGGAGCACTTCGGGGCTCGAGGGCTGTCTGCACTGCTGTGCCCTGTGCTTCCGCCAGCAGAACTGGCAGCCTGAGCCTGGTTCAACAATGCTGAGCACGTGAACCTCTACAGCACTGAAGACCTGAGGGCTGGCCTCCAATGGGGCTTCCCCAACATGCAGACAGGCACCATGTGAGGCTTCCAGAGGAGCTCCGCTCCCGTGGAGACCTGCTAGGATCAGCCTAAGCACCACAGAAACCCCAGCCATGCCTACCTACCTCCTCACACCGCTATGCCTGTTACTGATCTGGACTCCATCCCACCAAGCTGGTGTGTAGGGCTGTGGAGAGCCAGCCTAGCTGTGGAAGAGCTCCCTGAGTGCCACACTGTTCATGCATGGCTGCAGGCACTTGGTGACAGAGTGGTTCGTGCGATGCCGGGTCTGACCATGGTTGCCAACAGCCAGGCAGGTCCCAGCTGGGTCTGCCAGCGTGAGGGCATGCAAGGCTCTGCGGCACCCCAGCTGGCTCTCCTGAGGGTGAGCGTTTGGCCTTATCTGATGGTCTTGGAGACAGAAGGTAAATGGAGCATACAAAGTCAAAAGTGTGGTCCATGCCTCCCCAGAGCATCCATCTCATTTCATTTCATCTCGTCTCATCTCATCTCGTCTCATCTCGTCTCGTCTCGTCTCATCTCGTCTCATCTCATCTCATCTCATCTCATCTCATCTCATCTCATCTCATCTCATCTCATCTCATCTCACCTTCCTTTTCTTCTGGGATAAAGGGACTGATTCTCCCAAGTGTCTTCCTGGAGACCAGCCAGTCCCACCAGCAGAAGGCCTGGACACCGTGGGTGTCAGGCTGAGACTCCAGCAGACTGTGAGTCCTGCCCTGATCCTGCGCATGTGGCTGAGCTGGGTCCTGCCCATGACTGCGCCTTTGCCTCTGCCTTTGGTTCTGCTCATTTGTTACCTGCCCCGTGGATGATTCATCTGTTTATTTGCCTCCCGGCAGCACGGAGCTGACCTTTGGTGTCTCTGCAGAAAGGCAGGCGTCTCGCAGCTCTCGTCATCCAAATAAACACTGTAAAAGTCAGCGAATGGGGAAATGCCTGTTACTTTGCTCCTGAACAGTTACAGGTTTATTGTTTGTTTCCCATGAAAGGGCTGGTGATGACGATGGAGACTCAGGTGACAACAGAGACTCAGGGGAGAGTCCACATTGCTTAGGGCTATTGGAGATGCCCCTGGAGACCTCGCAGCGTCTGCCAGGCCTCGGAGAGGAGCCAGCAGGGCATGAGGACAGGCCTTTTCCTTCTGAGAGCGGGTTTACCCTCCCCTCCCCCATCCACTGTCCACCAGTGGGACTCCCCAGAAATGTAAGAGGGGCTCTGGGAGCTGCCCCTGACATGTCCCGGCAGGGTTCCCAAATCGCCTTGTGCACTGGAAAGCGAGGGTGAGATGCCTACCAGGCACAGACACGGGGTGTAGCTGGACTGGAGAGGAACCTGGTGCAGAGAGTGGGGGGCTGCTGCTATCCCCCACCTCCCAGGGCTTCCCAGCCCAGAGCAGAGCCTGAGTCCCATCCACCGGGCCAGCCTCCCCCCATAGCCCCAATGCCACTGCCCCTCTGGATGCCTCAATGGAATAGAATAGAATAGAATAGAATAGAATAGAATAGAATAGAATAGAATAGAATAGAATAGAATATTTTCCATCAGAAGGGACCTACAATGATCATCTAGTCCAACTGCCTGACCACTTCAGGGCTGACCAAAAATTAAAGCATGTTATTAAGGGCATTGTCCAATTGCCTCTTAAACACTGACAGGCTTGGGGTATCGTCCCCCTCTCCAGGGAGCCTCTTCCAGGGTTTGCCCACCCTCCCGGTGGCCATGGGCCATGCAGGCTCTTGTCCTGGGATGGGGCAGGCCACAGCCACCCCACGCAGGGTATCTGCTGGAGGTTGTACCCAGCCCCGGGATGATCCTGTTGCTGCCAGATACCCCTGCTCTCTTCCCTGACCCACCATCTCCAGCCACCCCACGTCACTGCAGCCCCCACGCCCCCCGTGCTGAGCCCCTGCCCACATGGCCATGCTCTCCCTCCTACAGCATCTCCAACCAGCAGTGAAGGGCAAGAAAAACTAGACAGCGCACAGCTACAGGGAGGATTTTTTAAAGCCTGTGCTGGTTCCAGCTCCCCAGGCTGGGACACAGGTACCCCACATTACAAGTCCACAGCTCCCGGACATTTTGGGGTGATTCCCCAGTCCGCAGTTCCTTGCACAAGTGCAGCAGCAGGAGTAAGTGGCTTCCCCAGCCTCTGGAGCCAGCGCTGTTAGAGACTCTCATAACCGGAGTTCTTCTGGCAGCATATGACTGCGAGCAGGCAGAAGATGAGGATGAGCATGATGGCCAGTAAAACCGTGGCTGCTATCCACTTGCTTCTCTGGAGCCCTACAACTCTCTGGGGAGTCTCCGAGGGAATCATGCTGGTGAGATTGAGCATGTAGCCCAGAGTCCAGCCCACGTCTACGTTAGCGACCTGTGCAGACGGAGAAGGAAGAAGGGTGTGAAAGGCTGCAAAGTACCACGCAAGCCAGAGAGCTAGAGAAGACCTTTGCTGTTGCACCCCCAGGTCCTGCTCCGCAGCCACCATATCTGTGCACACCTTGGGCTGCAGATACCCCGTTACTGAGACAAACTGTGGGAGAGCATCAATGGCCCCAGCCAGATGTCCCAGCCGGTGCCTGTGAGCATAAATCAAGAGCTGCTTAATTGGTCCTTCTCACTGTCCTGGGCACAGGCAGCAGACCCTACTGCCCCGCTATCCCCTGGTCCCCACCCAGGCAGGGCAGGGGCTGGGGCAGGCTGGGCACAAGCCATTTGACAGCACAAGGTGTAGAAGCTGGGGGCTGCCGGGCACTTCCCTACCTGCCGGACGAAGCGGATGTTAAGCCACGTCGTGTGGTTGAATTTGTAGCCTTGCAGGAGAAGGGTGAGGGCGTAGGAGCTGGCTGCGCAGGCGTCACGGAGGTGGGTCCTGTTCGTGGTGGGGAACTCCTTCTGTACCTGCAGAGGTGGAAGAGCGCGGGGGAGCTGCCGGCACCGCGCAGTGCTCCACGCACCCACGGCACAGCCGGGAGCCGAGACCTGAGAGCACCCGGGCTTGGGGAGCAAGGAGGACCCGGGAGGCTGCAGGCTGCTCTCCTGTGTCTCTCTCTGACCAGAGATCTTCATGTTCCTCCCAGCACCCTCCAGCTGCCGTCTGCGCAGCAGTAGATGGGCTGTGGGTGAGCCCCCAGGCTGCCCGGCGCCCAGGCAAAACGTGGGCAGGGGCTGGCGTCTCCTAGGCAGGATCTCACCTTGTCCCAGCTGCTGGCGCAGAACTGCCAGATGGTGGCATTGACGGAGCTCAGGGGCTGCCCTCCAGTCAGGTTCTGAATGTGAAGGCTGTGGTAAAGCCCCGAAAACGCCTGTGGGTGTTTAAGACCAAAGGCAGAAGGTTAGTGAAGCACCCAGGGGTGCTCTGCAGGGGTCCCTAAGGCCACCTCTCCGATCAGCACCGTGGGGTGATGCCTGCTGACCCGCTGGGAGGGACCCCTGCCACTGCTGCCAGCACCAAAAGAGATTGGTTCTGTGACAACAGAGGTCAGAGTCTGCCTGGCACGCTGATGAACACCCTGCATGTCTCCACGCATCAGGCACATAAACCCCCCCCCCCCCCCCCACAGCCGCAGGGACGGAGGCTCCTTACGAAGAACTGTCCCCGCACGGGCGGCTGATAAACCCCGTTGAACCCGCACGTCCTGTTGGCCCCACAGCTGAAGTTGAAGAGTCTCTGGATGGCCATGCTGCACACCACCGGATCCCCTGTCCCCGTCACCGTGAGGACCTGTGCAGGGCTGGGCGTGCTCGGTGCACGGACACAGGGACTGTCGTAGAGCTCTGCCGTGGTGACGTTCTCCTGGTATCCCTCGGGGTAGCAGGGGTGCGATATCTGCTGGGGGGACGGGCTGCCCTGGAGAGAGCGGGAGCCGTTAGCATCACCCTGGCACTGAGGGTGAGGATGGAAAGGAGAGAAACAGCGCACAGACACAGCGCATTTTCCCACACCCAGATGCAGGACACTAGTGTGCTGGCCCCACCACCCATGGGGTCTTATCCATGAAGTGCAGGCACAAAATCATGGGGACAAGCACAGCACGGCCACGCTGTCGTCAGCTATCAGCTACGTGACAGCCACATGCCCAAGGCCTCGGGGGGTTGCACCCCGTGCTGAGCGTGGACCCATTTTGTCCCCACTCTTCCTTTGAAGGGTCACCAGAGCCAGGGGAGAGCCAAGGCTGAGAAGTCACTTAATCAAAAACCAAAATGGACACTGATTTCTCTCTGCAATGTGCTCTGGATGTGGGGCTTTGCTCCTCCCAACCAGCACAAGCTGGCGTTGAGCCCTCACTCCACAGCCAAGCCGTGGACGTGAGGGTCCCTCTGTGCAGCAACGACACCTCCCTTCACTCTACCATGCCCAGCACCTGCTGCGGAAGACCAGGCTGTGCAGATTTCTTTCCATAAAACCAACTTATTTGTTACCAGACTGGTGCTAAAAAATCGTGATGGGTCTTCCCTGACCACCCAGCACCCAGCAGGTCACCTCTTCCAGGGCTGGGTCCTTCCAGTCCCCTGCGACTGCAGCTGGGCTGGCACAGCCTCTCCATCAGGGATGGGATGGTGGGCAAGGCAGCCCTGGGACAGGTGCCCCTGGCACCCGCCAGCCCTGCAGTGCCAGCGGTCAGGCATCCTGCTTTGGGGTGTCCATCTCCATCTCAGCCGGGTGTGGCCCCCCCCGTGGGGGGCCCCCTGCCATGCTGCCCCATTGTACCCACCGTCCTCGCTGGGATTTGCACAAAGGCACCGAGCCCGGCAGCCACCACAGCCAGTGGGTGTTGCCAGCCCAGCTCAGTGAGACCGGGGCTCAGGCTGCAGCGGAGGACCACAAGGTTGGAGATGGTTACCTGGTGTAAGGATGCCATCAGCATCTTCAGGGCTTGCTTTTGCCCGTAGCAGAGGTAGCTGTGGGTGTAAATGGAGTAGCTGGTGCCGTAAAGCCTGAGGACGGCTCTCGTGCTGCTGTCATCTATGGTGGTCCCAGGAAGGAATGCGATCTGGGTTGACGCCCCGCCGAGGTCCAGAGCTCCGACCGTGTCCTCCGCTGGCGGGTGGGTCCACTGGCCTGTGAAGGAGCACTGGCCGGCCCTGGGATTTACCCATGGGGACCC